ATTAGTGAAATTAAGTAATAGTATTTTACCTGCATTACTTGACTATGAAGATCTAATAAGGTATCATCTTCGCTTGTTTTTCTTTTATTAATTGGTTCATATGGTGCATGAATCATATCGTTTGCTGTTTTTATAACGAGAGAGACGTTGTTTTCGGCCTGTAATGAAGCAAAAGATACTTCGTTATATATTTTGCTTCCCAATTTTTTTTGGCTTACTGTGTTATATTCTTCATTATTCAAGTCAATTGTCTGATATATATTATCATTACCAACTATGCGTGCTAAATTGATACAGGTTTCATGAACATTGTTTGTTTGATTAAAATGGCTACCATCTGGAGCCTAAATGAAAAAAGATGGGTGTTCTATTTTTTAAGAATTGTACAAGAAAAACCGTTATCATCAATCTTCTTGTGAGAGTGCGATACTGAATATTTTGTACTCGACTGAATAGGCCGCTATCCTTTACTACTCGTGGGCTCCTGAAATAGTTTATAGCTTTTGTAACGATGACTTCATAAAAATTATTTATTACCTTTTGTGTAACCATTTGAATTTGTTTTGCAGCATCTTCAATTGCGTGTTCATACGATAATGCTCGTTCTTCAATAATATTTAATATTTTCGAACATGATGTTTCTGTTTTATAAATAATTTCTCTTGTATTAACATAATCAGCATTTATACTGCTTAATGTTATTTCCATTATTGTTTGTTTGGATATTAATACATCTACTAACTGATTTAATTTCAAAACATTTTTATCAATTCGTTCAATATTTGTTAATAATAAATTCAGTTTATTATTAATTTCATCGTTATTGTACCCATCATGGGATGCTACTGACGAGGAATCACAAAATTCAAACGGATCTTTAGTTATTTCTTGAGACATAGTACGTGTTGATAATAATACTTTAACAACTCTTGAAAATATAATAGTGAACAGAAGAGGATAATTTTTATGAAAAATTTTCATGAAATGTTCTGTAATTTTTAAAGCTTATATACAGTTGGAAAGGTCGAACAAAAGTTGGGAAATAATTTGTTTGGGAAATTTCATTCTTGTTTTAGGTTTTTCTTGTACATATTTGTTTCTCTTAATTGTTTTGTGTTACATTTTTATATTTTATTATAAATTGCGTTTACCAATTAAGATATAAGAATATAACTCATTTCATTGTACAGGCATATTCTATACAAATTTTACAAACAAATTGAGGTATACAATTATATGCTAATCGAAATGTGACTGAGAAATTCTTCTTTCACTGAAACGTAGTATAAGATACAGAAAAATAAGTAAACGAGCAAAATATAAATATTCAAGAAACGTACTCTTTAATCACATATTGCATAACGCTTCGTTCAACAAAAGTTATATAAATAAAATTAGACTAATTCAAACGTTTTATTATGACAAGCTATAAATGGTTATTATTTGAAACACAAGAAAAATCAACTAAAGCAATTAATCATCTAAAAGACTTTCGCATTGAAAGTAATCCGCCTGGTAGAAAACCTTATTACAGAACGCATCCTGAATTACTTCCAGAATTAAAAAAATTATTAAACACACACAGTGGAGAAGCACAAGATCGTAGAAGAGATGACACAGTTCGTTTTAATGGCTTATCTATAACAGATTGTAATAATTATGTCAAACGTCGATTATCACGTCGCTATCCAAACATTTATAAATTATCTAATTCAACCATACGTCGTTTATTTATACCACCAAAAAAAAATGCGAGAAGTCAAAAGTTTTACAAATCAATTATTCCAGCGAAAATTCCACAAAAACAAAATTCCAAATGCCAACATCATCCAGATTTTCATATCACATGTGCCCAAGTTAATTACGTACAAGAATTAGCCAGTTTATATAACGATGAATGTATTTCATTATCCTGCGATCAGGCGGAGATTACTTACCATGGCCACAAATGACGTTTAGCAAATACCATTATGATACGTTCTTACAACGAACACATGCAATACTTGCTGGTGAAAAAAATATTGTACCAGATCAGCAATTACCATCAGGACGAACGAAACGATGTTTAGAATGTAAATTACCATATATCTTTTCGCCCAAAGCTGATGAAGAACGACATATGGTGTGGGTACATTGGTCTAATGTATTACTTAATAAAAAACGAAAACATTCACCGACTCCGAAATCAAAGTCTGTGTCTAAATCAAAACAACGAATTACTAGAAAACGTGAGCTTTCTCCTGAATACTAGCAAGAAGTTATCTAACATCGACAGATGTTAATATTTTACCTTTAAACATGTGCATATAAATAAAATAAAGATCGAATATCGATAGTTTTCGTTATTCAAGACTATTCAGAAAAAAATCATGACGCAATTTTATTTGAAACGAGAAAAATTTTCGTATATATGAAGGTTCAAATAGTCCGGCAGTAGAATGTGCAGCACGGAAAAGGCAGTCCAATAAGGACAAAAATTTAATAAAAGTATTACTAATTATTAGAATGTTGATCATATTTAATATTATATATATATATATAAATAAAAAATGTTGTCGTTTGCGTACTAGATTATTAAATAGAAATTTTTCGGTTTTACCCTAAGT